GACAAAAACGCACGGTTGTGGATAGCCACGCATCAAGATGATGGGGATGAAATTTTTGTCGCGATGTACGATGGCGAAATGCAGCAGCTGGAATTAATCCGAACAATTCCTCAGAACACTCCCCGTGATAAATGCGATAGAAGATGCAGAGCGAAGCTACATCCCTACGCAAAGCCAAAGGATCAAGCTGATCGGAAAGGTCCAAGGATAAGGGGCCGGTGGGCGCGGTGCTAACCTGAAACTTATACTTATAATAATATTTAGTAACTTTGGGAAAATACGTACGTTATAAGTAATAAAATTCCTGCGTGCGCTCTCACACATAGGTACATATTAAAAACCACAGATACGATTGTATCTGTGGTTTTGGTTTTTATACTGTCACAGCTCGACCCCACCAATTTCTTCGTCTCCTTCGAGAGAAACCGTGAACGCCGCGCCTTCAACGAGGAGGGCTGCGTCCGCTACTCGCTGCTGATATGCATAGCGCCGAGTTGCACCTGCTTCGACAGCGTCAGCTGGAGTCTAACTGAGAGTCAGCTTGAGCGGTTACCTGCGAAATTGGATAACGATGGCCTTTAAAGTCTTTGCAGTACAGGACGCTACCATGTCTCACGTCTGATCGTTGCATACTACGGATGCGAGATCGTACCTAGCGAATGAGCAACGCCAGCGGTACTGGATAATTCGTCTTCGACCTGCAGTCAGAACAGTCGCTGCAGTCTGTAAGATCTGCCGAAATAAGGTGATAGGTAGAAGTTTTCGTAGGACGTCAAAGAGAGAAGCGTTGAATTACCTTCTTTACTTACTTTGCCACAAGAGCTGTGCATCTGGAACTCTAAAAACCCCCCTTGAAAAACCTGGGAATAATAGAACTTTTCATAAACTTGTACGAAAAAGTATAACGGTCAAGATAGATTTATTTCTTTAAGAGTAGATAATAGTCGTTCAACTTTGGTTAAAGAAAATTTCTTACCGATTGAAAACTCCTTAAAACAAAATATTAATACTGCCAAAGATGAAGTTATTGTATCGTAAAACCTTGCACTGAAAAACAAAATCTAAGAAAAGCTATTTAAAAACCACAATTAAATATTATTAGTTCCACAAAACTACCAACGAGTACGAGCGAGTACCAACGGCAACGGCTGATATTCTGAATCGCGCTATAGTTAATTTAAAAAAAAAATGACGGGATGCACTCCAGGAGTGCCGGCAGAAGTGAAAACTTGAATATTAACGTTGTGCATTTTTGATATTTTGGAATGGTTAGGGAATAATTTTGCATGAATTGCATTAATTATCAGTATAAAAGTACTATCATTTATGTGGTAGAATACAATATTTATTTATTGCGCTATCGTACACAAACATGACAATTTATATTACATTAAAAAAGTTTATCTCTCAGAAAAATCAACTTACATGAATCACGCTTAAGCGCACTTAGCTACATCTATTGTAAAAAAAGCAACTTACATGAATCACATTTCAGCGCACCTAGCGACATCTATAGTAAAAAAAAAGCGTTTTCTTTGCAATAAAGCTGCCATCTGGACGTCCTAGATAGAGACTATTATAATACGATAAAATAAAATATTACTATGTTTCGTCCAATATATTGAAAGTAAACAACCTTTTCAATTTTATTGTTTTCGTCAGATCCCTGATCAGTTCACGTGTCCTGACCCGAGTTTAACATTTTTTACCCATACAAAAAAAAGTGTACAACGCCGCTAAAGAAGTTTTCACTTCAAAAATCGAATTGATTTTGAGTTTGAGACGCAGGTTAACTTAGATTTTTTATTATTTCAGATACATAAAATAAAGAGTCCTGCTCAAATTATTGTGGTAACGACAAGAAACTAATGAACCTTACACTGCGCGTGGCATGACATGCATTTGGGTGGTTTTTTTGTAGATATTGATATCCTCTATTAAACTTAAGTACGTACTTTGCTCTATTGTTAATGACTACCGCAGTTTATGCGATATAAGGATATTTTATAGTATTTTTTTCACACGCTGGGTTACATTATTGAAGTTAGATAAGTTTAGATACGGAACTTTTTAAAAAACTATAATGTTCATCAGGGATATAGGATTCTAAATGTGAAATATATTTTTTTCAAAACGGTCCAGTATTTTTGGAGTCTATCCGACACAAAAAAACAATCAAATCTTTCCTTTTTGTAATATTAGCGTAACGTAGACTAAAGTTAAACCTGGACTTAAATTGAACGGATGCCTCTTTTGTTTGTTATGACAGAAATATCCTTCCTTAGGCTTAAACCAAGACTTTTTAGTTCGCGTCTCCATGACGTGAACTAGAATTAGTCTTGGTTATAAGCAGGTTGAGTCGAAAAATTGGAACGTGTTTGGGATCTAAGAAGGTCAGTTTTCACCAAGGGCGAAAAAAAAGATTTGTTGTGATTGAAAAAAAAAGATGAAAAAGAGAAAGAAGTTGTAAAAGATTTGATTTGGAGATAAAAATACCAAAACTTTTCTAATACCAAAATTTTTAATTTTTCGCTGTGTAGAGTTGTAAAACTTTTATTTACCTACAACTTTGCCATTTTCTTTCTTTTGTAGTTTTCCCGGAAATCGCGATATACCGTTTATCACCCTGAAAAGGTCACCCACACATCCTTTCCGAGTAGACAAAGCGCGGTCTAAGCTTCTAAGCTTAGCTAAGAGACTTTGATTGCCACAGTAATAGATTTCGATATAAAAAATAAATTGTGGTTTTGCTGAATGGCTAGAGATGTGTATGAACTGGCTTGGGTTGACACACAGAACACAGAAAGAGGTTAGAACGGTGCTCATAGACCGTTTGTACGGGAACCGATGTCGCCGACTCGCCCCCGCTACACTTTCACCTAGTGGATACTAGCCAATTAAACGACGCGACTTAAAACATCGACCCAATTAGCATTCACACCCGAGAGGAACGACGCAATTAGAACCAAGTTTTGGTCCAGTTATGATTGCACAAAACTGTGGCGCGCCTGCCCCGCCCACAAAGCCCTTCTAATCTCTTTCTGTATTCTGCGAGTTGACATTATCATGATGAAAGGCCACATCCTTTCTGATGATCAATTCGCTTATTTTCTGTTAATTTTTCTTAATTTCTTTATAGAATCTCTACAGATGTTAGCATAGATATTCGAATCAATCTATTCTCTCGCCAGTAAAAGCTCGCAAATAATGATACCTACCTTTTCATGGATTCATTACAGTCAGTAGAACTTGTCCGAGCTTGTATCATGACTTTTTTGCACATACTTACTTTGTAGCTGGTAGGTAAGGTAGGTACCTAGGTTTGTACTTATTAAACCCACCTTTCATCATCAGCAAATAGTGAACTTTTTCAATAATGTATCGGTTTCATAACGCTTAAGCAGAGAATCGCAAATAAGTTATTAATTTCACAGTTCATTGACTCTTGTGGCACTACAGGCTTTTTTGCAGGTGGTATCTATCTATGATGGTATCCATTTTGTATCTGCAATGGTAGGTACCGGGACTTTTTTGTAATTTGTGAAATTTGTTTTAAGGTTAACCAGTTGCACAAAAGTATTTTAGTCATAAGTACTGAATTGACTCCATTGTTTCAGTATGACCAGAACGACCATGCGGTTGTAAAAGGGGATTAATTCATTATGACGTCTTTTTTTTTGTTTGGGATTTGAATAATTGTTTCAGTTACCGGTAAAATGGTCTTACTTTGCTCCATTATTTGCTCCAAAAAAGGGAATTATGAATATCGTTTACACTATTAATTAAGAAATATATTCAGATGTATTAATTTTAAGAATAATTTGTTAACTAACATATTTGTAAAGTTAAATCAACGTAATGAAGTATTTCATAATATGTTTAAAACTATGAATAAGGAGCAAAGTTGAGACCCCATGACCATGGGGTAGGTATATTCCACAAACAATTTCTTTTTTTTTTTCAATCTTCATTGTAGTAGCTTTTTGAGCAAAGTTATGCTTTCCTTATTCAAACTATGCTCCAGTTATATTACGCTTTACTTTTGTGATAGTTTCAATAGTCGAAAAATGGGTAAAAATTAAAATAAACCGTGTTTTTGAAAGAAATGATGTTTATATTCTTAAATTTAGTTTGTACTGCGCTACCTCCAGGTAGTACCTACCTACGAGACACATAAGTAAAAGAAAATCCGCCAAATGTCTCTTGATATAAGTAGGTACTCATATCAAACTTTACTTGTTTTGACTTGGCTACATTTATATAACGGTTATGGTCATATAACCAGTTGGTAGTTTTGGCGGATCGCGTCCAGTTATTTGTCAATATCGGTATTATCTTCGCAAGAATTTAATATACTAGAATGTATCTCCTTCATAATTTTAGTGAAGTACAATAAACACCTACCAACACTTCACTGGGCTATTGATGAATTTATAATCCTACAGTATGAGTAGACATATTTTAATTTTATGGACTTTATATCGGAGTGTTCTGTCTATCTTGTAAAAAAGACGGAAACCATAGTAAGGCTGCTGGGATAATTAGACATTTCTGTCAGATTTGGAGCTGGACGGGAAGATAGAAACAATTAAAAAGCGAGAAGCTCATTATGGCTTTGAATTCAATATGGTCTGGGCTTTTATAAGATAGTGGTCAAAAAAAAATGTTTGCCTTATTTTGAACGTTTATCTAATCACTTCAAGAAACAAACATAGGCAACTATTAATGTTCATCAAGAGCTGGGTTCGCATCGGGCCATCCCTCAATAGTTTTATTGTATTCATTACGTCCGCGGCTTTCGAGTGTGTCCACCGGTTTTTCTAATTCGTTATATTGAGAGTTTTATTACCGAGTTCGCGGCGTGTGAGCGAGCGCCCGCCCCCCAGGGCCGGGCGCAGGCGATTCGCGAACGCCGCGTGTGCGTGGGGCGGGCGGGGACAGGGGCGCCGGGGCCGGGACGACTCGTCCTCGGCCAATAGGGTGGTCGCATGTGGGGCGGGGGCGGCGTGAGGTGCGGCGCGCGCGCGCCCGCGTGCCCGGCGCGCCAGTGACGCGCGGCGCGCCGCTTGCGACGTATCTTCCGCGTGCTCGCCTCGACCCTCGACCCGCGCCGCGACGCGAGTGCTGTGCTGTGCGATACTAGTGCTGTGCCTTACTGTGCGTGCCAGTGATTCGTACTGAGCTGACTTGTGACAGCGACGATACGCCCGGTCGCGAGACCCGGTGCTCGCGGGAGGACCCGTCCGCGTCCGGTGGAAAGGTACACTGGATATGAATACCTCCTACACCTGAATGTTTTGTTTACAGGAGTGCGATGAGGTGACCCGAAGGATTAGGTTCCTAAGTATCTGTTAGGCAAAGGTCGGATGGTACAGTTAGAGTTCAGCTGTAAGTGAACAAGATTTCTTTACTCATTATGGAAATCAATGCAGAAAATGATAAGCATAATTATCCTAGGACTTATGTTAACGTTTGAGATAAATAATGGCGTAGTACCTACAGCATTGTACTTTAAGCTCTGTGACAAATTAGGCAAGTTAGGTTTATCAGTAGTTATTTTCATTTATTTCATTATCCAATATGTAGGTTTGTGGGTATATTTACACAATTAACAATTTTATATGGCTGGTCAATGCGCAGACGTTTAATTAAGTAAGTAGGTAACTTTTTACACTATATATCTGAGTCTAGTTGAGTTGCTTTCGCGACACAAAATAACTGCTAAGAAGTATTCGGTGTAAACTAAAATAAATTAAAAGTTGTCATTTTAAGATTAATTAAAGCGCGGCGCAACGGGCGCGACGTAAGCGCCACCGAAAGTAACGGATTCCTAACTAAGTATTATAAAATATGTCTCTAGGTTTCCAACAACAACTAACGAGTAATAATTCTGAAAATAAAGCAATCTTATACTGAACCCTGAATAGTTTGAAACACAGGTAAAAATGTAAGTCTTAAGTTTAAGGGGAAATCAAAATTAAAAAGATCTTTGATAAACTATTCAAGGAAGTATTTTCTTTCAAATTTAATGGGTGCTTACATTACATTTTACCTGACTTCAAAACACAAACTTCAATTAATTCGTCCCAATCTGTTTTTTTATAATACCCGCCATACACACTACGAGAAATCGTTACGATCAGACTGTACAGTTCGAACGGTACAGTTTATACGATTTCGTTTAGTATAGGAAACTGTGCAGTTTTATAACATACACGCTACGATTTATCGGTACCGTTCGGACTGTACAGTCTAATCGTAATGATTTATCGTAGTGTGTATGGCCGGTCTAACGCAAGCACACCTGTCTGTTCCTGGCAACAAGGCAACGCGGATCTGCTACAGACATCCATCCACCTAACTCGGTCTTTCTAATTCTAGTTGAAGACATTCGGTACCTTAGGCACAGATTACTTAATAGTTACTACCTTTAGGCTATAGATATCTCCTCGCATTATTTACTGAGATAGGCACATGTAAAATTCTGATGAGCAATATATTGATCCTATTACCTTATTTGTCATGTTACAGATATGGGACATAGATCATTTTTGTAATTCCGGTCAGCTCACGACAATATTTTTTGTTTCAAGTTAAGCAGAGCTTTTACCATGAAACTATATCACTAACAAAATACATATACCTACCGTCGATATAGACAGACATAGTAGCACAAAATATGGTGTGATTTTATGAAACCACAATGCAAGTGAAATTTTTAAAATCTTTAATTAAAAAGTCCTTCCTGATCCTCATCTGGGAATCGAACCCGTGCCTGCCGAACCCGGGTGGCAGGCGAGCTTTCTACCACTGAACCACCGATGCTTGATGATAAGTTTTGATTATTTTAATAAAACAATTAGAAATGTGCTAAAGAAAAAAAAAATAGTGGCGAAGTAATAAAAGTTTATTTTTATAATACTTATATGTGGTCGTGAAACAATAGGAATTCTCTGTCGGTATTCGAATAAAAGAGCACTGGAGCAGAAGGCAGGAGCCCCGCCGCCCCGCCGCGCGCCGGTACCAGTCAGCGGTAGTCAGGGTTCGATAAATACATGGTAGTCACCGATTAAGTGTGAAATTGTATATTATTATAGTATATTATTGGAAAAACGAAGGAAACACTAAGAAAAACATGTAAATTACTACTCCTGCTGGAAACAAAATAATCTAGGTAGTCTAGTACAGGAGCGAATTTAAAATGAAGCCGAGCCTCTAAGATTTTGAATTGGTTAAAAATTAAAAAAGTATTTATTAATTTTTTAAATCAATATTAAAATTGGTAACGAATTCCTCATTATAGGGCTTATTGAGCTTGGCTATATTTCAGCCTACTACCCCAGGCCGTGCCCCTATCGCCCCCAGGGTACCTGAATACGCACCTGGTCCAGGAAATAATCCAAGTATATACGGTACAAAATACATTTTAACTTATCCCTGTTAGGTGTTTCATTTTGTATTATAATTCAAACAAGTTATGAAACTAAAACTAGTTTTAACGGGTTAATGCACGAACTTTATTTATTTATGACGGTTCGCAGCTTTTTCAGGTCTGCATCGTCTGAATAATGAGCATTAACTCGTTGAAACTATTATTTAATGAGTGATGTGCGTAAAAACCTTAGAAACAAATAAGTTATGAAAACTTTTTTTGACAAGCTTCCGAAAGTAGTAAACTGTTCCCAATGGTTTCAAAGTTACTGCTGGATTGACTATAAAAATATTTTTAACTAATAAAAAACCTAACCCACTATTTTAAAATTAATAATGACTAAAAAGGTTTTATCGCTTAATATGTCCAAATCGTTGCAACATTTCATTTAACTGTGAATGCACCCGAAACATCTTACTTATAAATGGCAACACTAATTTAAAAAAATTTTCATCCCCAATTTTTTTCATAACTCCGGTGCAGCTGTAGTGCAAGACCTTAAAAGTTATTTCTTTTGTATCCGAAAAAGCCACTTCTATCTTTATATCTGCAAAATGTTTATTTTCGACAGATTTTTGTCCAGCATTTGTAAACAAAGTTTCTAGTTAAGATAGTTGTGTCTATTATAATTTAAGAATATATAAAAACTAATGAAAGAAAGTGATTTTAAGAATATAACATTATTTCTTTCATAACACTTCTTATTATATCATAATTCTCTTTTTTGGAGCAAATATTGGAGCAAAGAAGGACCATTTTACCGGTACCTATTATCCTTGACCCATACCATAATATAGCCATAGGCCATAGTACAGAGCTCATACGTCCGCTTATTTTATTATCTCAAAATTATTTTATAACGCCGTGTCACACTCACATTAGAGCACCTTGATCTAAATATCTAGACTAGAGTAAATATCTGTGCGTACAATGTTCAGAGTATAGATACAAAGCAGGGTACAAATAGGGTACCCTACGCTATGAATCCTTTATATAAGAACAAAAGATTATATTTAAATGTTTCGTTTACTTTTCTTAAATTATATTTAAAACCTAGTTATATTTTTTAAGCATTTAAATGTTTAAATCTCAAGATCAGCCACCAATGCCGCGATAGCATAATAGTTAGTGTATTCGCCCGGATAGCGAAAGGAACGGGTTCGAGTCCCGTCCCGTCTGCTGCTAGCTCCGCGTGGAATTTTTTCTAGTAGAATCTTGTTTAGATTAAAATCTAGTTGTTATGGTGTGCAATTTCCAAAACTAATAATTATGTACCGTTTGTATTTAAGGATATGTTTGTACATATCATATATATTTTTTAATATTTCATACTATTAAATTCACAAGGTTTTGTGATAAAGTTACGCCTAAGATCAAATACGTAGGTCTGTATTAGTTTCCTTACCTGTAACCATCAAAACTTACATTTATTAATTATAAAACTGAAAAATGTTTTGTATATCAGTAAACTAATACACCAAATTGATGTCTGTTAGTGAGTTCAGAGCCGCACATTGCACCAACAAAGGTAGTCAATAGATCTGCCGATTCATTCATAGGGGAGTTATACTTATTATAACATAACTAGCTGTCCCAGCTTCGTACCGCCATAAAAAATAGAGGTTGGTGGTAAGAGGGTTGTATGTATTTTTGTATGATGTATTATAAAAAAATAAAAACAAAAAATTAAGTCCAAAAAAATTGAAAGTTGACCACCTTTAACATTTAGGGGTATGAAAAATAGATGTTGTCCGCTTCTCAGACCTTACTGTATTTGCATATAAAATTTCACGAAAATCGGTCGAGCCGTTTCGCAGTAGTTCAATTACGTACACCGTGACATGAGAAATCTATATATTAGATATATCTTTATGGAGAAAAAGATCAACATTGTATAACAATAATAAAAAGTACAAAGTAAAGGATGCCTCAAATAGGTTACAGTATAAATTTTTCCTGGATTTTAAGGTTTCTATGATCTAAAATAATACATGTTATCTACTATATAAAAATAAGTCGGTTCCTGACGCTATAACTCCAGAACGCACGAACCGATTTCCACGGTTTTGCATTCGTTGGAAAGGTTTCGGGCTCCGTGAGGTTTATAGCAAAGAAAATTCAGAAAAAAATGAAAAAAAAAAATCGTTTTCTTTTAATCACAAAACGAAATGTTACATAAAACGAAGCTATCTGGTGGCGAAACGGAGTTCGCTGGGTTTGCTAGTTATTGATAAATTTTGTTATCTACTATATAAAAATAAGTCGGGTTTTCCTTCCTGACGCTATAACTCCAGAACGCACGAACCGATTTCCACGGTTTTGCATTCGTTGGAAAGGTTTCGGGCTCCGTGAGGTTTATAGCAAAGAAAATTCAGGAAAAAATGAAAAAAAAATCGTTTTCTTTTAATCACAAAACGAAATGTTACATAAAACGAAGCTATCTGGTGGCGAAACGGAGTTCGCTGGGTTTGCTAGTGATTGATAAAATCGTTTTCTTTTAATCACAAAACGAAATGTTACATAAAACGAAGCTATCTGGTGGCGAAACGGAGTTCGCTGGGTTTGCTAGTGATTGATAAATTTTGTTACTTGTCATAATTTTAAAACAAAACTTAAAGTAATCGATTTTTATGTTAGTAGTTTATTTACAAATAAAAAGTAATTCTACTTTTATACTGTTAAAATAATTTTATGCATATATCGTAGGATGCTTTAATATATCGAATTTTCGCGAAAATCCTAGGGATTTTGCGAAAACGTGGATAATTAGGCAATGGCGTTGACATTTCCCAATCTCACTGAAAAGAGATAAGATTTTTACGAAACCG